ACCTCACGATCTTTTCTCTCTTTCTCTTTCCGTTTACTCTTCTTTCCACCGCCCCCTGCCCTACCCCCTCTCGGGGTAGGCTCAAGCGACGGCACTGAACGTTTCTTTGAATTCAAAAAGATGGCCCTAAATTGCTTGTTAGCTGTCGTGCGCGGCAGGTTCATCTCTGCCAGTGCAGCAAGTCCACTATTGACGTATGTGCGGGCTGTTTTGGCAGCCTGCCACCTACCATAGACCAAGAGGCGGTCTAAACTTCCCCATTTTTGAAAGAAAAACGTGGCTCCCCCTCTGCGGAGGGAGTAAGGGCGAAAGCCCAACTCTTCAAAACCCAGAGCCATGACAGCCTCATTAAAGAGTTGACGCCACTTGGCGGGAGACGGGCAAAGCTGGCTACGAACCTCACATTGTTGGCTCCAAGCATGCAGCCACCGAAGGGGTTCCTCCACAGTCAAGGTGACACTTTCTGAGGCTCCTTGTCGTTTGCCTGCTTTGGTAAGGCCAAGGGAAAGAACCGCAGGTCCTTGTACGGCATGTATGCTAACGTCAGAAGAACAGAGACTGAGTATCTCTCCCGTGCGCAGGGTCCCGTAGAAACCCACGAGGAGGGACAAGCCAAATTTATACTGCTCTTTGAAGAAGGCATATCCTACCATCATCTGAAGTGCCTCCTCTGGTAGTGGTGGCGCCCGATTCGGTATTTCGTTCATGCTCCAGGCCTTGAGGAGCCTCCAGGTGCCGCGAAGATGCCCTTTGACTTGTGGTTGAGCGTCTTGAAGTGCGGCAACGGTATCACTTGCTTGCGCACGTCCAAATCCTTCTGTCCATAGATGTTCTATGTACTGCTGAAGTAACAGGTCAAGGTCGGCGTGATTGTAAGGCACTGCTCGGCCTTCATCTCTGAGGAATGCCCAAAAACCTTCTAGTGCTCTGTTGTATCGTTCCCTAGTGCGCGGCTGCACAGTAAGTGAATGCAAACTTCCCATTTCTGCTCTCTGCTTTTTACGCTCCTCCCGTGAGCCCCCTTCTAACATTGGCCGTTTTACTTTAGCCATTTCTTACGAACAGGACGCCTGCTGGGGGCGTCCGCGGGGTTTTGTGCCGTGTGGACATATGCCCACAGGCCTTGCATTCCGGAGGCTAGGAGAAGCGCGTTTATTCGGAGCAGAGTTCTTCGGAGCTTGCGGCTGCTGGATCTCCCCCGTGCCAAACAGTGGAGACACACAAGGGAATCTACGAGATGAAGCCATCGTTCTTGAAGCCAACCCTTCTTTGCGATGCGCCAGCGAAGCGTTGTTAGCACAGCTCGTAGTTCAAGTACGTTGATGTGCTCTTTAGTGCCCCGCCATTGCCATCCGCAAATGGTCCTCCACTTCCATAAACCAGCAGGTAAACTGGCTCGAAGGCGATGATACCGGACAGGATCTTCACTTTGCGCCTGCAGGAGAACATCTTCTCCCTTCAGACTGGTCAGCCCTGCAATCTTCTGCACCAGTTGGGTGTCCAAAACCGGAGGTTCAGCTTTTCGCGGTGGTCGCATGAACGGTCGGAGGAGAAAACTCTGTAGGGTGCGTCCTCCGCCTGGGGCACACTGTTCTACCACCTCCCGAAGGCTCAGACGCGGACCTACGCCTAGAACCAAGGAGAGCTGAGTCAACAACCATGCTACCACGAAGACGTTCCAGCTGTTTCCAACGAGGGTGAGCCGCTCATCTTGCCAAGCCTGTGTGTTCTGCTCTTGCTTCGGGTAGCATTGAACAGTGTAGCCACGTGGGAAACCCATCAGAACTTCTCGCTCTTCACAATTCAACAAGCGGGTGTTGCCATGTTTGTCTTGCGCTCGAAATTTATGAAGGTATTGGTATGGTGGGAAACGATGCAAGTCACTGCCCCAGTCCCTGAGCACCTCTTCTCCACATTGCTGAAGACCGGCAGGGCGTCTGCCAGGAGTTAGGCTTGGCCGTGAGGTAGTGAATGTTGGATAAGGTTCATCGGAAACTTTCTCCCAGCCATCTGACAGGAAACGAGTACAGTCATAGTCTACCTCGAGGGTCACGGTCTGCAAAGTGCTCCAAGACTCTCCTGTCGCCGAGGAGATGGTTACCCCTTCACCAGGCACCAACTCCCAAGACGGCCAGAATAGACGAGGTCGCCGAGCTCCACAAAGGTGTACAGGATCTATCAGGAAAGGTGTGGACCCCACGGACTCGCTCATGATCCTACGGTCACTTTCATCCATGGAGGCGACTGATTCCATCAGCCTGTGCACCTGTGCCCACTTAAAATGCTTCCTGAGGAGAGAGTGGACGAAGTCAACATACTGGTACAAGCAGCTTCGGTGGTCTCGCAGAGCCCCTCTGCGGTCGGCATTGAGGCCTGAAACGCCTTGACAAGGCGGCCCGGCCCCCAAGACCACCAAGGCCACTTGTGAAAACTGGCATGCCCAAGACTGTACCATGTCCTCATCCACCAGCTCAACGTCTTCAACGAATAATGTTTGCGGAAAATGGCTTTCGACCACTCGCCTTGCGGGCCCATGCTTTTCGACACTAATGTGGCCGATTACCGGCAATCCGATCACGTCCGCAGCTACCCGTAA